GTTTCTTTTTTTCTTTCAATGTTGCCGGTTGTATTTTCCTTGTTTGTTTTGTTGATTAGGTTCCACTTACAGGTGAGATCATACGGTATTTGTCTTTCACTGCCTGGCTGATTTTGCTTAGCATAATGCTCTCCAGTTCCACCCATGCTGTCACAAAAGGGTAGTAGCTCTTCCTTTCTTTCTGCTGCGTAGTATTCCATCGTGTAAATGTACCATAGGTTTTTGACCCACTCATTTATAGATGGGTACTTAGGTGGCTTCCAGTACTTGGCTATTGTAAATTGTGCTGCTATGAACATTGCGGTGCATACGTTCTTTTGAATTGGTGTTTTTGGATTCTTAGTGTATAATCCCAACAGTGGAATCGCTGGGTCAAAAGGCAGTTCCATTTTTAGATTTCTGAGGAAATTCCAAACTGTCTTCCACAGTGGCTGCACCAGTCTGCATTTGCACCAACAGTGTACTAGGGTTCTCTTTTCTCCACAACTTCAGCAGCACTTGTTTGTTGATTTGTTTATGCTGGCCATTCTGACCAGTGTGAAGTGGTACCTCATTGTGGTTTTAATTTGCATCTCTCTGATGGCTAGTGATGCTGAGCATCCTTTCATATGTTTCTGGGCCTGGTGTATGTCCTCCTTGGAGAAGTGTCTGTTCAGGTCCTTTGCCCAATTTTTAATTGGATTGTTTGCCTTCCTGGAGTGGAATCATGTTTTTTACATGTTTTGGAGATCAAACCCTTGTCTGAGGTATCATTTGCAAATATATTTTCCTACACAGTTGGTTCTCTTTTCATTTTGCTGATGTTTTCTTTAGCTGTACAGAGCTTCTTATTTTGACAAAGTCCCATTTGTTTATTCTTTCCTTTATGTCCCTTGCTCTAGGGGACATATCAGTGAAAATACTCCTGTGCAGGATATCTGAGTTTCCTGCCTATTTCTCCTCTAGGACTTTAATGGTGTTGCAACTTATATTTAAGTCTTTTATCCACTTTATTTTTGTGTATGATGTAAGCTGGTGGTCGAATTTCTTTTTTTTGCATGTAGCTGTCCAGCTCCCCCAACACCATTTGTTGAAGAGGCTATTTTTACTCCATTTTATGCTTCTGCCACCTTTGTCGAATATTATAATTGACCATAGAGACATGGGTTTATTTCTGGGCTCTTTATTCTGTTCCATTGATCTATGTGTCCCAGACTGTTTTGATTATACTGCCCTTGTAATATAGTTTGATGTCAGGTATTATGATCCCTACTTTGTTCCTCTTTCTCATAATTGCTGCAGCTATTTGGAGTTGTTTATGTTTCCACATAAATTTTTTAAGTTTGTTCTATATCTGTGAAATATGTCACTGGTACTTTAATAGGGATTGCATTGAATCTATAAAATGGCTGGGTAGTATGGACATTTTGATGATATTAATTCTTCCAATCCAGGAACACAGTATATGCTTCCATTTATTTGTGTCTTCCTTAAATCTTTCTTCAGCATTGTTTAGTTTCCTAAGTACAAGTCTTTTATCTCCCTGGTAAGGTTTATTCCTATGTACTTTGTTTTTCTTGTTGCTCTAGCAAATGGGATTTTTTTCTCCTGATTTATGATTCTGATATTTTGTTGTTGGTGCACAAAAATGCCTTTGATTTCTGAATACTGACTTAGTATCCTGCTGTTTTGCCAAATTCACTTATTAGGTCAAGTAGTTTTTCAGTGGAGTCTATAGGGTTTTCTATGTAGACTATCATGTCATCTGCAAACGACAGTTTTACCTCCTCTTTTCCAATTTGGATGCCTTTATTTCTTTTTGTTGTCTGATCACTGTGGCTAGGACTTCCCATACTAGGTTGAATAGAAGTGCTGAAAGTGGACAACCTTGTCTTGTTCCCCATCTTAGTGGGGAAGCTTTAGTTTTTGCCTGAGTATGATGTAGGCCATATATGGTCTTTACTCCCACTTTGTTGAGTGTTTCTATCATACATGGATGCTGTACATTACCAAATGCTTTTTCTGCACCTATTGATTCGATTATGTGATTATTTTAGGCAGTTCTTAATGATGGTTATTCTGTAGTTTAGTTGTAATTTTGATGTGAGTGCGAGAAGAGGCATGTACCATCTCGCATCTTCACTGCCATCTTGACCAGAATTCTCCTTGAACATTTTATGATTCTATTTTCTTTCCTTTCTTAGCATATCATTTATACATATATTTTTCACTTTTTCAGTAGTTGTCCTAAGGTTTATAATATACATTTACGAGTAATTCAAGTCCACTTTCAATTAACACTATACTTCCTGAGCAGTACAAGAGCCTTATAAATTTCCAACTCTTTCCTCCCATCCTTTATAACATTGCTGTCATTTATTTTACTAATCCATAATCAAATATGTTGTTCGCATTATATTGAACAAACTATCATTTGTTAGGTTAAGAATCAGAAAGAAATAGCCCTGGCCAGGTGGGCTTGGTTTGTTGGAGTATCATCGTATACACCAAAATGTTGAAAGGTTCCATTCCCAGTCAGGGCACATACGTCAGTTGTGGGTTTGAACCCTGTCAGGGCACATACAAGAGGTAACTGGTTGAAATTTTTCTCTTACATTGATGTTTCTCCCTCCCTTCCTCTCTCTCTAAAAATAAGCATATCCTTAGGTGAGGATTTAAACAAAGAATAAAAAATAAACTTTAGATTTTAATTGGAATCATGCTGAATCTACAGATTGCTAAAAAAGAATCCTTACAATATTGAGTCTTGTTACTCACAAATATATTGCATATCTACATTTGGTTCCTCTTGTATGTTTCAAAAGTTTAATAATTTTCTGTATCAAGTTCTTGTACGTCTTTTATCAGATTTCTAGGATCATGTAATTGTTGATTCCTATTAGGTGAAGCATTCATCGACACAAGGCAATGTTGTCTTTTTTGCTTGGGTTCTTTCCTTGCAACTACCGAAGTCCTAATATAGGTAAAGTATCATGAAATGTTGATTGGAGAGCTCAAAAGTCACATCACCTTGGAGGAAAAAACTAGAATACCAGGGAATTGGATAATGGGGCAATTTTGAAAAATTAAAAGCAGGAAATAGACATAATCTGACTTGCAGTTTAAAAAAATAACTAGAAGACTCAAGGCATGTGTATCAGGATCCTATTCTAAGTTCAGGGGAGGCGTGACAGGTGCCTATTGACAGTGGCAGTGCAGATGGACAGGCGTACATGGATCTAAGAGTTACTCGCATAGATTGGGCGCGATCTGATGACAGATGGGAAGGAAATTATAGTAAGGAGTTAAAGATGATTCACTGATTTTGGCTCAAAGGACTAGTGGGTTAGTAGAGTGGGGTGTTATGAAAATTGAGAATGAATTCTGCCCGGCATGGGAGCTTCAAGTGTGTGATGGACATTCAGGTGGTATGATTATAAAGCAGAGGACTTTGGAGCTCAGAGGATATATATTCTGCAGATTTGAGTGTAAATGAGAGCACTGAGGAAAACATACAGAAGAGGAAAGATGACAAATCCTTCAGAACAATTGGTTGTTGGATGGGAGTTTGCTACAAGAGTCGTGATGCAGGTTGAGATCCATGAAAGATGCAGGAGAAAATTCAGGTTAGAATGGTGTCGCCGAAGTCTGGGAATAAATACTTTCAAAGGAGGAGTGATCAAAATCTCAAAATACAAGGAAAGGCCAAGTAGTGTTTTACACTCTTATTGAGAAATGTCCCTTGATGTGGCAACATGCCATTTATTGTTGGCCTCAGTGGGCCCTTTGAGGACTGGATGAGAAGTGCAGATAACCTTGCAGTTGTTTCAGGCAACTTGACTGAGAAAAAGCAGGGCTGAGAGTTTTTAATGTATATAAAGACAGGGGACATTGTGCCCATTTGTGCACTGAGAGAAAGAAACTACCCACAAGGAAGTGGTGTGGTAGGAAATGGACTTGAGACCAGGTGTACCTGAGCACCCAGCCTCATTGAGAGTCTGAGTGCAGGGTCTAAGAGCAAGATGTTTGGTACAGTATGGGCCAGTGGCCAATCATTCCGTGCCGCGTATATGTAGAATTAATTAGGTGAGCTTGGATCCATATTAAGTACAAATCCTGACTCAGCCTAGCTGCGTAACCACGAACAAGTCATTTAAGCTCTGATTACTTTTACCCATCTCACTGGTTGGGATGCGGTTTAAGGAAGTTAACATCAATGCCTGAAACAGCGAGCACATAAAAACGTCAAGGTGCTTTTGTTCTGCTGAATGTGTCTCTGCAAGTATCTTCGTTCAAATTCCTGACTTATGTGAGTCTAGATAAATATCCATATAGTTTTCTCTGAATTTCCATGTTTGAGTATCTTCTCTTTCATGGTAGATTACAGATCCCCCCAGTATGCTCCTTTCTCCTGTTCAGCAGCACACCCACACTGCACGGACATGCCCATTTCCCCCAGCCTAGATCTGCCTGCTGGCTAGTCTGTCTCTTCTCACACACATTTTTTGAGTGGCTTCCAAGGCATCCCTTTTTAATTTGCTATAAAATGCGCCACAAAGAATTTATTAACAATGAAGAAAAATCACAGCTAAGTATCAGATATCCAGAGGAAAGGAATTCTTAGAAGTGGTTATTTTGGGAAGGGTCTGGAACTAGGGATATAAGTAATATTTCCTCTAAAAAAATCTGAAGCAAGCACGATGATTAAGATGTGATAAAGCTGGTGGTGGTGGTTATACTGTGTTTATCATTCTCTACATTTTTATGTTTGAAATATTCAAAATCATTAAAAATAAACATCGTACAGCGGTAGGGAGGACAAAACATGGATGTGGTTAGAGCACAATAATTACTATCAAAATAAGCGAGGTTTATTGACATTTTCATTAAAAAAAAATCTCATTGAAAAATACAGGAACCCACCCACCCACACACAAGGTCTGCTTCAAAAAGGACTTTTAAAAACAATTGAGAGGACTGAAAATTTATATTGAGAATACTGATGAAAAAACTAAAACATTTTATTGAAATGAATTAATATGGGTTTATGTTATATGTATATTAACAGTTGGTATAAAAGGATACTAATTTTCAAACCTTCAGGGTTAATTTTTTTAAAAAGGAAAAAACACAGAGTGATTTTAATAGACAAAGCACCCAATTCCTACTTTTCTTAGTGGAAAAAGAAGTTATATGGTACACAACTTCATGGCCCAATCTTACAAATGGCATTGACAAGAGGTACAAAAATCTAAACTTCAGAGTGCTAATAATGTTGCCAGCAGGTGTGCATACCTACATTTATATAAATTCAGTTTATACTCATAATCTTTTCTTCACCCTTTCCCAGTTATCATTTGGCTTTCACCGCCCCCTCGCTGACCCCATCCCTGGTGTTGTGGAGCACCTGTACATAAATCCTTTGCCATCCATCCCTGTGCTAGTCCACTGAGATGCACCTGAAACACCCAATTTCAAAAAGGAAGGAGTACCTGGCACATGGCCTCAACTCTTACCGATGAGGGGAGCTGAATGTCCTCCCAGCCTCCATTCACTCCTTTGCTTTTATTTCCACTGGGCCTGCTTTGCGTCCTTAGGAGATTTACAGGAGCACGGGGCAGACTCTTTGTGCCCTGTGATTGGCACCAGGAAATAAGTTTGGGCTCTTCTCCGTCCCCCCGGTGGTGCCAAGAGAACAGGCAAGCCGGTGCAGTGTGGCTGTGGGCAGGGTGAGGCACTAGATCCACAGTCCAGGGGAAGGGAGCTGAGGTGGGGAAGCACTGGGACGGAATGGGCTGTTGCTGTGGTCAGCAGTTCGAAGTCTGATGATCTTTGGGCTCATAGGAGCAGAGGTGAAGTTTGGAAACCACATCCCACCACTGAAGGGCTTGATTGGGCCACACTGAATGTTTTTAAATTATAAAAATAACAACATTAAGCAAAATGTTTACAACAGGAATAAAAATCATTGAACCTGCTGCTTTAACACATATCTTTTCATGGTTGGTTCCTTCATTGACTTGACACGACTTAATTACTGGCTGATCTTTTTATTTACCATTATCCCAAACAACAGTAATGTTATAGTTATGATCAAGAAGGATGTAGGGGCAAACTGAAGTAGAGCAGCACCCCTGCAGGGCCCTTGCCTGGGACCATCCCACAGGATTCTCTGGGTAATGGAGGTAAGGGGGCTCCTCGGGTAAGGCAGCTGGTGTCTCTCCAGGCCAGAGCCTTGGGTGTGGCTACTCTGGGCCATGTGAAAACCCTGTCTCCAAGAGGGCTCTGTAGGTCGAAGATGCCCAGCCTGTCCCTACAGAAACAGTGCAAGAAGGCAGGACTGGTGTACCTCAAACCAGGTCCCCAAAGGAGAATAATAGAAGGACTGAAGGATCCTGTTAAAGGGCCAAATTTTACTCAGATCCCTTATCAGGCCTGCCTTTCCCAAGTTTCTGAGTCCACAAGCCTGGAAACTTTCTGAAAGAAATGCCTAAGAACCTCTCCATTGTCCTTCCATCCCAGGACCAGGAAAAAGAACTTAAATAATGGTGAAAGCAATCCTCATCCTGAACAGCTGCTGCCCACTACTGCACCAGCACGGGCTGCACTGTTCCTCTGACCCCGAAACCACCAGGGGGCAGCCTGGGTCCACGGTGAGCTGCTTCCTCCTAGGGAAAACTGGTCACTTGTGCAAAGACTCTCTTTCAGAGCCACATGCCCACCTCCTGAACCCCCAGGACTTTCTTCTCATGGTCTCAGCTGTGCCATCGATCCTCTGAAATGGTGTCATTGGGCTGAACATAGGTGGAGGGATGGAAGTTGCTGGCTTTTTGGGGAGTTGACCAAGGCCTCTTGGGACCAGGTCCTTCATATTCAACATCCAGCACAGTGCCATACTATAGGTTCTATAACATTTAAATAATGGTTGCATGAAGTTGAAGTAACAAGAGACTCAAAGCAGAAGAAAGGTTCTTCTTTGGGGAGGAAACGTGTGAGCATGCGTTGGGGGAGTGGATATTCTGTGACCACGTTGGGTCTGGAGCTCTTGCCACCTCCCAGGACTTCTTTGAACCCCTATAGCTTCTTACACATATAGAAGCCTGGGAGGTCTAAGTGACCTCCCTAGTTGGACAGAAGTGACTCCAGGCTGGGGGGTGTGTGTGTGTATCTGGGCAATGTGTGAGGGTGGAAGAGGCAGGACAGCACAAAGGCCTCTCAGCCCTCAACTTATAGTCCCTCCAGGAGCTGACACTGAACCCACCTCTCGCAGGAGCAGAAGGCCAGTTCTGGGAGCTCTCCTACCCCAGGGCCACTCACTTTTTTTTGTTACACAGGTAATCCATGGTCACTGTAGAAAAATGCCACATCACTCTTTATTGGACACCAGCAGCAGTCCCCTTCTCTCCAGGCACAGCGGCACGTGGGCAAGGGCTCCAACCCCCGGCTGGGATGCAGAGGGAGCCCGGCCCCACCGCCGCTCTCCTGAGGCCAGCACTCTCCTTGGAGCCCAGGGCTGTTCGCTCAGGTCTGCTCAAACTCCTGCTCACAGTAGCCTACACTGACCGGCTGGGCCTGGACACCTCGCCTGCAAGAGGATGCATAGAAACAGAGCGAGATGTGCCACTCAGAACGGGGTCGGTCTGGGGCCCTAGTAACACCTCTAGTAACACCTTCACCACAACCAACGGTCTTCCCTTCTCCCATGTCAGTGGGTGGCAAACTGTCCCCGTACACCAATTTCCATGGAGTTCACTTCCAGAGACTCTTACTTGGGGCCAAGTTGGCAAGAACCTGCATTTTGAACTCGTGCTCCAGGTGAAATTCTGACCTGGGACACCCAGGAACCTTGGGGAGCACTTCCCTGTTTCTAACCTGCTTGTCTCTGTATCCTAGCCCCAAATGCTCAGTTTCTTTAGAAAAGAGGGAGATTCCTGAGGGGTACCCTGTACTCTTTGCCCAGTGAGTCCCACCCCTTCCCCTGCTTCCCACCCCAATGGCTCTAAAATGCCGTGAATGCAGTGGTGGTGGGGGACTGAGGGGCTGCCAATCCATGTGAGCGTGAAAACCTGTCCTTAGGTCTCAGCCTCACCTCTAGGCAGGCATCCTTCATTGTCCAAATGAGCAATGTGCTTAGAGACAGGAGGGAACCCCACTATGCACGGCTCTTGGCCTGGGGCTCTGCTCTGCACTAGCCTGTGTCCCTCAGGTCCCCAAGACCTAGTCAATGAGTCAGTCAGGAAAATGATCATCTTATATGGTCCTATCCCCAACAGGAGCACAGGGCTCACGAGAGCCATAAAAGCATAACCGAATAAAACGTTGGCCTGGTTTGAATCCTGGCTCTAAGTGACTTTCAGCAAGTTACTTAACTTTTCTGTGCCTCAGATGCCTCTGTCTAAAATGGGGATGAAATGTATCTAATACTACACGGTGCTGTGGTGAAGATTCAGTGAAATAGTGCCTGTAAGGGCCAAGCACAGTACTCACCACGCAGTGAGCCCCTGTGAGTGTTAGCTATTACTGAGCGCCCTTCCCCCATCAGTAGGGAGTCCCACGCCCCAGACATGCCCACCTCCTTGGGGTGGCCCCATGACCTGCTCACCTCAGCAGCTCACAGCGGAAGTGTGCCAGACGTTTAAAGGCAAAGTCTGGATCAGTCACCGCCTTGCTGCTCCACAGCCTCTCAGCAACAGCCCCTGCTCTCGGCCTGGACGAGATGGCACATGCACCAGGTTGGACTGGAATCCTCCAAAGGGGTGGGACACCCACAGGCTACTGGCTCTTGTTTAGTCTCAGGGCCAAGGGATGTGACCAACACCTTATTCAGAGTGACAGCCTGGCTGAAGGGCTCCCCGGGACCTCAAGGCTCAGGTCTGTCTTCACTAAGTGTGGACAGTGATTCCCACTCTTTTCTCTCCCACAGATGTGGCAACAGAGTAAGTCTTAGGGGCATCCTGCACTGTTACCGACTGTAGTGGCAGGTGTGAGAATGTCAACTCCACATGCCCCAGGCTCGGTGAGGCACCTGAGGATACAGTCTAGGTAAGTCTCACTACAAGAATCGTGGACATCCAGATTGGATCCTGAGCAAGCCACCAGGCCTCTCAGGCCTCACCACTCTACCTCTATCCTGTACAACCTAATAGATTGTTGGAGAAACAGAAATGGAAGCCAGGCGAGCAGTGGGTCTAACATACAAACAGAAAGATCACTGCAGTGCTCCTTCTCTCTGAGGCCTGAAAGGAGGGGACTAGTCGGCAAGGGAGACCCTAGGCCCACAAACCCAACCCTCCATGTCCCCAGAAAACCCTTACCAGAGTCTGGGGACCAGGTTTGTGCTGTCCACATACTCTCCCCACATACAGGCCTCTCCGCCAATCACCAGAGCCTTCTGCTGAGGACTGCCTAAAGGAAAACAGCAACGACAGACAACTCTCTGGTTCACCTGCCGCCACCTTCTCAGACAGATCATTTTATCTCCCAACCTGAAATACCCAGCCCAGACCCTCCCCACCGTGCCCCAGCCCAGCCTTCTTTGGTCAGCAAGGAGAGCGCCCTGCTCTTACCTTCAAATGACAGGGGATCCACCATGTAAAAGTCCTCCCAGTCAGGGCCATAACTTATGCGGTTCAGGTACCAGGGGGCAGAGAGCAGGGCCCGGAAACCAGCCTGGGTGATCAGCGCCAGCTCCTTCAGATAGCTTACCGGCGCCTCTTCTCGCCACACCTGGATGATTGTGTTTGGCCGAACCTGTCACAAAGGTCAAATGGTGGAATGGCACATAGCCGAGGAGATCTGTGGGCCACGTTGCTATGCACGCCACCAGGCCAGGGAGTATGGACCCTTCTGTTCTCCAGTAGCTCCTGATCATGGAGCTCCTAGCCCAGCGTGGAGGTGAAGGGTTCTATAGGCCACAGGAGAGCTCCCTGTTGTTTCATCCCCGTCTTTCTCCAGACTGAGATGGTAGTACTGGCTGCGAGCTAAGGGGGACAAGCAGTGGGGCCCAGGAGACTCATCGGAAGCTACCATATCAAGAACTCCAGATGTTTCTGAGGATGGGGTAAAGTTTCTGCAGAGCCCTGCATGAGGCTGGGATATTACTGATCTGCAATGAAGAAAGAGGAAACCTTGCCCTTGTACACCTGCAAGACCCTAGTCTATGACTCAGAAAAGAAAACCCAACCCATTATGCCAGTTTCAGGAATCCCAAGTAACTTAGCAGCAGAAATAATGCGATAGATATATAGTGAGAAGACAGGTGGAGGCTCCAAAACCCGCACCCTGACCTCTGCAGCCTTTCTAGAGGGGAAAGGAGAGAGAGTCCCAAGTGCTCTGAACACTAAAGCCTAATCCAGATCAGGTGGATCAGTCTGTGCAGAGGCAGGGAGGGGCTGGGAGACCAGAGCGGGGCACCAGAAGGTGGCTCCTTCTCCCTCTGCCCCTGGCTCACCTTTACTTTATTATCAAACACTTCCTGCCACACCACATAGCCCTTGCCATAGTCAGAGACGATGTCGAGCAGCCTGGAGAGTAAAGAGAGTGTCTGCTCAGCTCAGGCTGCGGGCTGTTGGCGCCAGTGCTCGAGAGGTTGAGCCTGGCTAGGGGCCCATTCCTGATTAGGCAGTGTCTTCCCCCATTTGGAACTGACCACTCCAAACCTGAAAATAGAGGATGAGGGACTTTTTTAAGGGGCTCAGAGAGTGGTCAAGCAGTATGGTCCCCCATAGGAGGTAACCCAAGGGACCCTGCCCATCCTCCTTCCTTCCTTACGTCTGGATGTAGAAGGACTCCAGCTGTTTGAAGTCATTACCAAAGCCTTTCTTCTTCATAAAGGCCTGGACATCTGGGTTGGACTTCCTAAATCCCATGAGAAAATGAAGATTAATTCTTCCAACATTCTAAAAGCCCAAAGCTTGGGGATCAATCACCTGGTTTCCCACAACTTCCCTTCTCCCCTGAAATAACGATATACTGAGGATCTCAGGGGCCCCAAATATGGAAGGAGTAGCTGAACAAACTGTATAAGGGGGCCATTGACACAGGCTGGGAAAATTTGAGCCTGGGCCTGAAGAACTTTAATTTCAAACTCTCAAAGAGAACACATATCGATCTCCCTGGATTATGACATGTGGCTCTAAGGTCTTGGTCTGGGGCTCTGGCCCATTCTAACCCCCACCCTGGGTATATCCTGTCTTTCCCTTAATATTTACTCCCTGTTCAGTTGGATACAAATTTGCTGCAACTCTCTTGCCCCACAATGTCTGTATTTTCTTCACATTTTCTCCTGGAATGTGCTCCTCCTCTTCCATGTCTTGAAAAAGCCAAACTACTTCCCCAGATCCAGCTCTAGTGTCCACTTCTCAAAGAAGCCCCCCAACCTCTTTGGAGCTAAGTAGGTCTGAGGATTCAGGACTTACAATTCAACACTAACCAGACACTGTCATCTATTAGTCCCAAATTCATCTCTGTCTTGACTCTTCGCTAGGCTATTTTAAGCCTTCAGAAGCATAGATTATTTTTCCCTATCCTAGATTTTAACAAGCCAGTTCTGTGCCCAGAGCTGGTTTTAAATATCCGTAAGAAGAAGGGAGGGTTTCACATTCACAGCCCTGCCAAAATCAGGCAGGGCGTCCCTATAGATGGAGAGAGGCAAGGCCCAAGACCTGAGCCATCTGGATTGAGACAGAATGCTGTCCCAGAGGTTAGTTCCCGAGAAACACCTGGGACAAGTGGCCTGTCAGGGGCTAACCTCTATTCTGAGCAAGCAATTCATGAGGTTGGGATGGGAAGATCAAAGGACTCATACCAGCAGGCGAAGTTAACCTCATCTCCTCCAAGGTGAAGGTAAAAATCCGGGAAGACAGAACTGACCTCCAAGAAAAATGTGTTCATAAACTCATAGGTACTGTTGAGAATGGGATTCACTGGTCCAAAGGTGCCAGAGGGTTGAGACCCAGAGTAGCAAGGAGTCAATAATCCAGGGACACCTATGCCAATAGAGAACCACATGCATGTATCACAAATACAGAGACCACCATGTGTAGTCATATACATAAGGACATTAGGTCAGAACAAGATGATCATATTCATAAACATCATGCTCACACAGGTAGAAATACTCAGGGACTCAAAGACACTGGTAATCATAAGTGTTTAGTCACAAAGAAATACAAACAGCCCTGACTGGTGTGGCTCGGTGGGTTGGGCATCATCCTGCAAACTGAAAGGTCGCCAGTTCAATCCCGACAGGGCACATGTCTGGGTTGTTGGCCAGGCTACCTACCCATTGGGGGCATGTGGGAAGCAACTGATCCATGTTTCTCTTGCACGTAAATGTTTCTCTCCCTTTCTCTCTCCCTCTGTTCCCCTCTCTCTCATACATACATACATACATACATACATACATACGTAAATAAGATCTTTAAAAAAAAGAAATACAAATATATCCACAGTCACAGACAGTGAGAGAGGGTGGGCTTATGGCCAAACAACTGTCAGTGCGCACACACACACTCTTGCCTTGACACACTGCTTCCAGCAGGGGTCACCCTCGCTCCCAAAGGCTGCTCTCACACTGCCTTAGGCAGAAAAGCAGAGCCAGTTCGGCTAACTTGTAAGAATCTTTCTTCCACTCAAGGGTGCGACAACCCACGAGGGCATCATTAAGACAAGGGCATCTAAGAAGAATTTGCCCGTATTTTAATAGTAAGAAGTGGCCTCCTTTGCCCAAATAAGTGTTTCCTATCTAAGTTGCCAGGTGGAAGAGGTTGACAGAAAACATTCTTCCAGCGACCAAGGACAGGGATGCCACATCCAAGTGCTAATACCCGAAAGCCCCAAGGAGAGGGTGATCAGTAGACTTCCGTCAACCCCTGGCATTATTCTTACCTCTTCCCCAGGACAGAGTGTGGCCAGGAGTGTCAAATTCTGCCAACACACGGATACCCCGAAGCCGTGCATATTCAATCACCTCCTTCACATCCTGTGTTGTGTAGATGTGGGTAGCAGGGTTGTAGGACCCCTGAAAGGCACAAACACCCTTAAGGATCTCATTTCCTGCAGGCTAGCAGATTAGAAGATACTAAAAATGCCTCCGAGACTCCTTGGGTATCAGAAAATCTACCCACAGTCCTTTGGTATTGGGAACTATCTTTATGGAACTTGTTCACAACTTCCCACAAGCTCTCACATCTATTGTTTTGTCTCCATGTCACAATGCCAGTGAGAAAAACAAGGGAGGTATTACACCCACCTGACAGAAAACAAATAAAAAGAGGCGAGGAGAGATTATCTCCTGTGACCTTTGAACTCAGGTCTCCTAACTCCAAATACAGCTCCCTTCCTGAGCCAGTGTGTCCCTAAAACTGGCTGGATCAGAGGACAGCTGGTGCCCTGCTCCCCAACAGTGCTGCAACTAGGCTCGAACATCGTCCGATAAACTTGGTCAAGGTGAAATCAAGACATACCTCTCTGGCGAGCTCTGGAAAAGTGAAACTCTCATAGGGGAAGGAAGGGTCATCAACCAGATGCCAGTGGAACACATTGAATTTATTGTACGCCATGACGTCCTGTAAGTCAGAGCATACACTGTGAACTCACCACAGACTTTCCAGTTCAGCCTCAAACCTGGAAACTGGGCAGATCTCCAGGCTGACCCTTACCCCCAGTTTGCCCCAGCATCCTGTAACTGCTCCTAGATTCAATCAAACCTTCCCAGCAGCATATTTCTTCTCTCCCCTGGGCACATCAAATGCTGACTGACAGAAGCAGTGTGACCTCGTTGTGAGATGAGTTGTAGCCACATTGAGAGGAGATTTGCGGCTACATGGTACCCTGGTTTTCCAAGAGCCCCCAAACTCCCTAAAGACTAACTCTTCCTCCTGCCATTTGTTTTGGGTAGTCTGACTAGTATTTATCCAAATTGTGAGGTCTGTTGTAAGTTTAGTAGCCCCATAACCCATAAATCTCAAAAGCCAAGACTGATACATGTCCCCACTCCTTTGGTTTCACCAGAAGAGCAAAGGAAAAGGCAGACACCCAAGTTGGATCAGCAACCACTAGGAAAGACCGCCCATCAAACTCAATCAAGCTAGTTAGGAATGCCCCCAGTTAAGGCTTTGGAACACCTCCCTACAACCTTGTCTTGACTAAACTAAAGTGAACTCCCTGGTCAAAGATGCCAATTCCCAAAACCACCTTCTGCATCCCTGGAAACAGCCTGGACATTGGTCCATAGTTGCCAGTGGGGTAGATTTAAATCATAAATAACTTGTTATTTTTTTTTCAGTGGATCATCCTTTCCATTTTTCCTAGGAGTTCATAAAGTTACCTATATTCCCTCTGTAACCCTTTAGAAATATGGCATCTGGGCTATTCCTCACCCCATTACCCCAAAAAAGATCTTAAGGCTTGGGTACCAGAGTGTCCAGGATGTTAGGCAGCGGGAGGTAATGCCGAGATGTATCCAACAACAAGCCTCGGTGAGGGAAGCGGGGAAAGTCCTCAATCTCTGTCTTGTTGATAAAGAACTGTGTGGGCCAAACACTGAATTTGTCAGGATTCAAAGGTAACTTACCATGAGGGCGGGGTGAGGGTGAGGGATGAGAAAAAAAGTCTCCTGCGGTCCCTGGAAAGCCCCTCTGTGACTGTTTAGCAGGGCAACCATCTGCCCAAATGCCCCAAACCTCTACCCCAGTGACCATAAGCAGGAACCTGTCCAGAGAGCGTCTGTCCCAGGTGAGCCAGATACAGCCATCCCACACAACACTCAGACTTCCGAGTCTGCATTTTCATTGACTGACAATGTGTTGTTTTCTTCAAAGAAGTGTGGTCTCAAGGTCGTTACTAAATAATGACTCAGGGGAATTAAATTACAGTGATTCCAAACAGGCCAAGTCTGCCAAACCGGTCTCTACCCATGTGTCCCTGTATACTATCGTTGATGCCATCTCAAGCCCCTGGGACTCTGTCTTAAGGCAAAATAAGGTATTTCCAAGGCTCTGGGCACTGGAAGCCACCCCAAGATTAAAAGGAGCCCTTTACTGAGGTTCCACACTCACCGTGCCCTCAGGAGATCTCCAGACAAGCTGACTAAAAGTCTCCAGACCTACAGGAAAGTAGAGAGGCAGAATAAAGACTTAAAGGTGGGAAAAGATGCATCCATCTGGGACGTGCCCAGTGTGGCAGAGGAAGCTGCTTGGGCACACAGTGAAAGTGGGTGTAATACAGGCTCTATGAGTCTCAACACTATGAAAGGCGGATGTTAGGAAGCCAGTATCAACTTTTACTCTATTTTCTTTTGGGAGGTATCAGTGTAAGGGGTTTTAGTGTCCCTTCTAGGAATACATTAACCCTCAAAACCCACACACCTCTACCCTATGTTTCCAAAGGCCTGAACTTACAAGAACATTAACAGGATGTGTGCCTGTAAGGAGAGATGCAGGGACATCAGCCTGCAAGGACTTAAATCTTTTCAAGGATAATACTCATCGGAGCTAAGGGAGCTGAGAAAAAGAATTCCCAGTTTGCTGCCCCTTCACTTCTCTCAGATTGAACTGTGAAAAAGTGATCAGGAGCCTGAGTTTCCAAGGTGTCTGGGTCCACAGATAGACCAGAAGACAAAGAATCATTCCCTTTTCCTCTTCAGAGCTTCAGAAGAAACCCAGCTATGTGGATCCGGCGGGTAGCAGGAAGCTGCTGCCCCAGAAGGACTGTCCCAGTTCATAGGACACAGACTCCTAGGTTCCAGCTAGGCCCCAGGCAGGCCTTCTGGGAACCTAGCAGAAGCCCACGAGGGAACCCCAGAGTCTCAAATTCTTAGAATGAAAGACTCCGTGGTCACTGAGCACCTAACTCGAGGCAGGCCACCAGGGGAGTTCTGGGTTTCCTCCACTCTGACTCTGACTCCAGCATTCTGGGGTCCCAGGTTTTACCTCACCCAGCCACACTAATCACTAGCACCTGCACAAAAGGTACAAGAGGGCCGAAAGGGGAGTTGGCATGCTCTTTCTCCAAAATATAGGAGAGGGGAAAGGAGAGGCAAGGGAATAAAGACAAACCAAACCAAGGTTTGGAACTCTGTGAGAATATCCCTCATCCTGTATTAGCGGATGTTTTACCAAAAGTAAGTAGTACAGGTATGTGGCTAAGTCTGTATCTAAGGACCAAATTCCTTTTCAGTAAACTAAGAGGAAGGGCATGGGCCTGTCACCTGTTAGCTAAGAAAGCCCCAATTTTCTCCCCAAATAATATATTTCTACATATTTTACTACTATTTACCTTTTTTTGGACATTCATCTATTTCTTCGATACAGTTTTCCTCTTTAAAGAGCCTGGCCAATTGTGTATCTTTCGTGAGAGCTGAACAGGCAGTGTTTGTGGCAATGTTGCCCTTCTCCCCAGCTACCTGTCCCCACAAGTCCCCTGAGCAGCAGCCTGCAGGATCTCCCACCGCTGCCCCAGAGCGCCTGCTCAGGAGCACAGGTGAAACCTGTCAACTTCTAGGGGAAGCTGTGAGAACACTCCTTTCAGCGGGGTGGGAAAACATTTTACTTGCTCTCCACAAAGACAGCTTCCTAAAACGGGGATATTTGCTGGGCCTCCCAGTCACGTCCTCCCACCCCTCTGACACCAACCATCCCGCCTCATCTGTTGGTCTCTCTCCTGGCATCAGCCCTCAGCCCCATCTTGTTACCTCGGAGAGCTCCCCAGACAGTTTCAGACTGCAGGAAACACTGCTCGTTGTTTATGGTCAGGGTGTCTGGAATGACAGAAATGACCCCACATGTTAAGGATTTCTACTCTCAAAGTACAGACTGCATATTCTGTGTAAATCCTTGGGATTAAAAAACAACAGCAAAATCACATTTTTTTTCTTTCAAAGAGGACACACCCCCAGATCAGGGCAGCTACAGGTGGTGCAGGCCTGGGGCCAGAGTGGGAGGGTGGCCACCTAGGCACTCTGCAGGTCCTAGGAGATGACACATGATGAGATCATGCTGGAGCAGAGTCCTCTGTAAACCACTACTCATCCTGTGGGTCAGTTTTTCCATGAAGAAATATGAGCTTCCACCAGCCTTGAGCAAAGAGTATGAAGTCTCCTACTGGCAAACAGAACAGTGATGCTCAGACCGGTGAGTCCAGGTTCTGATATTCCCAAAGCCTTTGTAACCACTCTCCTTTCCCTTTGTCCCCAGGCTTCAGCTACCTCATCCAAGAATGTGAGGAAGAAGTCAAGAACTGAACTTCACTTTGGAGAGTGAGAAGTCCCCAAACGCTGCTGATCAGGGGAGAGAGGAGCCAGTCACAGGACTTGACCTCATCTCAGTCCAAGTGACCAAAACCTCCTCCTCTCCCCCTGCACAGGACCTCTTTAGAGAAAATCAGCCAAGTATATACACAATCCTAAAATGGCAATAGAATTATGCTCCATCTGGAAGGCAAGTGTCTTGTGGGACTCAGTGAACAGCCAGTGTGGCAGTCCACAGTCAGCTTGCAGACATTAGTTAGAGGCTGTAGGAAAAACTCACCTTCTGTGGCTCTTGGCACTTGGTGGCCCTTGGTCCCCATACCCATGGAGGGCTCCAGGCCTAGCACCAGTGACTTAGGCCAGGCCATCCAGAGCTACTGCTCCAGACAAGTGTTTGCTCTTCTAGGATGGGAACAAGTTGATACTCACAATTCTCCAGTGACTCCAAAGAAGGAAGCTGGTCACATCCAGGAGTGACCACATGGACAACCAATGAATGCGTCTCCAATGTGTGCTGTTCTCCTGCAAGACAATGTAAACTTAGTGTGGCTGACTTGCCACCAGAGGCAACAGGCCAAACCAAAGCCCTGCAGGAGGGCCCCCAGCTCTAGTCCCTTCAGCTCATGTGCCTGTGGCAAGAAGGAAGGGAGGACGGGCACGTACCCTTGACACATGCATTACCTAGTCATCTGTTCAACTTTTTCATTTTGGTTGTGCTCCCCTCTTTTCCAAGTAACCCACCCTGACCATGTAACTTTGTAACTTTACCAGGACTTTATTATTTCTCTCTTGGTACAGTCCAAGCACACAAATCCAAGACCTCAGCACCTACTCTGAAACTAGAGGCAGCTCCAGAGCATTCCTATTCAAAGTGTGGTCTGTGAATTAGCTGCTGACTTGTAAACTGAATTACTGGTTGGTCACCAGACAGGAAGCTTATATGATGCAAGAATGTAAATCAACTATGTCAGAATAACAAATTGTGTAGTTCTGATATTTTTTTCACAGCAAAGTTTGAGTGAAGGGAAGACTTTTACATTCTGGTGTGTATGCTTCTTATCTCACTGCAGACTAGCACTTGACATAATGCTTCTCTTGAGGGCTCCAGATGAGGCTTTCCAACCTTGTAAAAGCCCAAAGCTAATGTGAACAGATGAAGAGGATGACAGAAGACCTCCTATGCACAGGACACCCGAAGTGATCCAGCTGGTGCCCCAGCAAAGGCACATGGTCATCAGCCCATCCTGCTTCCCTCCCTCCTCTTCCCAGACAGGTTCTCTACCCAAGGGAGAATTCTCCCAACAGTGGAAAGCCACCCAGTCTGAGCCAACATACTATCTGATATAGTCTTTTTGTTTTAAAGATTTTATTATTTTGACAGAGAGAGGAAGGGAGAGAGGGAGAGAAACATCAACGTGTGAGAGACACATCAATCTGTTGCTTCCCACACGCCCCCAACTGGGGACCTGGCCCACAACCCTGTCATGTGCCCTGACTGGGAACTGAACCAGCGACCCTTTGGTTCCCAGGCTGGTGCTCAATCCACTAAGCCACATCAGCTAGGGTTAGTATAGTTTTACAGAGCCCAATATATGCTGGGGGGGAAAAAAAGCCAAAATATCAATACTGTCTCTTCCTACCCTCCTACTGGTTCTTCTCTGTGACCTTAGGGGTAGTTGTGATTGTACTGTCCCAAGCCTGAACCTCAATGAACTCCCTCTCTCTAGTCTTTCCAGCAGGCATTCGCATGGGCACAACATCCATGACTTCTTATGTGACTACAAAGTCAGAGACAGAATGGTCTGGCCGAAGGCAGGGAGAGAGAATTCAGAACCAAATTAGAATCCCAAATGTTATCCGTCTCTAGGCAGAAGGAACCCAAGAGCCTTGAACCACGTCAAGGCAGCCTGCTCATCCCTCCTGAACATGACCGCCTGGCTGCATCTCAGCCCTCAGGTCTGTCAAGGAGGAAAAGAAGAGGCCAATTCTTTCTCCTTCCAGTAAATAGCTTGTGTCCTCACTAAAATATCTGCCTGAATAGTGCAGGGAAAAGGGAATTTGAGGCTACTCTGAGCCAAGCCAATTCACAACTCTGCATTCTAAGCCCTAAAAACTCATCCCCATAAACACAGGACAAACAGGCTTTCAGGGGCCATTTCCAAAGCAGAACCTCTAGGGTCATCCCAAGTTCCCCAAGCCATTTCTACAAACAAAAACCAAAGAGGACTTACTTGGCGGGGTGGGTGAAGAAAACCATAAAAGAATATCCTTCAATACACTATGTCTTCACCCCTACCTACCTGTTCCCACACTGTCACGTATCACAGAGTCTCAGTATCACTGTGTGGAGAGCTCATCTGTGTATTCATCTAGGCAGCCATCCAAAAGAGGACAAAAGTCCTGAGCTTAGTGTTAATCTTCTGAATCTCGGTTTACCGAATTGAGGAGAAATCACAACTAATCTGTATGCAATTGCCATGGTCACTGTCTTGATAACAAGGGATGCTGCACAAATACCAGGTTTATTTGAATTATTACTTGGAAGACAAGAAAACAACTAATTTTTCCTGCTGTAGCTGTTATATCTTATTTTTGTAAAACACAACTGCACTGTGCTCTCTAAATCCATAGTCTTTTACGGGGATTCCTTTGAAGATGTAATGAAATGAACAGATTTACCCCCTTGGAACAATGCTCCTAATTTAAAGGCTCATGCCTTCTCCGTGGCCACCAATCTCATGGTAAAGAGTCCCTGTCCTAAGTGTTCTCAGTGACTCATCTGGGTTAGGGCTGTTGCTTAAACAAGCTGAGGGGGAAAATTGGGGGGGAGGTGGTGATATGAAAGGTAGCAAAATGGAAGGACACTGGTCATTTAAAAGGATGTAAGCAGAGCATCATTGTAGTTTTCCACCTCCAACTTGCTACTCTGAAGAGAGCAGGAAATAAGCAGGGGACAGGCCAGCTACCTCTGCACACACCCAAACACACTACGCAGAGAAGCATCCGAGGTGTGGGAGGCACAGGACAGGAAGCAGTCCATCAGCCAGCAATCTCATGGGCACATTCACAATATGAGAGGGGGGTGTGGACAGCAGGAAATTCTGAAGCCTCTAGTGCTCAGGAAGCAGCCTGCAAAACAGCACTAAATTGGAAAATCAGGAAAGGTTGGTTCTAGTTCTGCTTCTGCTGGTGCCAACCTGAGCAAGTCTCAGGCTCCCACTTCCTCCCATGGGAACAGCGGCAGGGTGGGACCAGGTCACGTCCACTGCCTCCTATCTCCGCAGCTCCCTCGTCTCCCTGCTCTCATGTGAACTTGCTATTTTAGGGATCACTAAAAAGTTTGTGGGTTTTTTTTTTATTTAAAAAGTTGAAAAATTCAAACAGTACAGAATGTTTACAACAAAACAATAAATTATTTTTGGTACCCCTCCTTTGTTCCCTCTCTGAAGAAATAATCACTGTTAGTTTTCTTCCCTGTGTCTCTCTCTTTTTTTAACATAATGTTGCTGTGTTCATCACAGACAGGTCGCTGGCATCGAAGTCTGAGATCCCTTTATCCCCAATGTCCCAGTGGTGAACCATCTCCAGTTGCTGGCCCTACACTCTTCCATCTCCTCTCTGTTGTCCATCCTCTCCCACCATCATTGCTTTCCCTCTTCCCTAGTGTGGTGGGCCATCACCTCACCGTCTAGCCAGTACTCTCAACAACCTGTCTCTTTTATCTTCTGTTGCAACCAGTGGACAAAACTCTTAGTGGACCTTAGGATAATGAGGTTTGGACCCGCATCAAATACTCTTATGAACAAGGCTTCAGTTCACTGAGATAGAGATTTTTTCAAACTAGAAATAACATCTAGGCCTCAGTTGGGTTTCAGCTCTAGGCCCAGAAAAGCAGTAAGGCCAAGTAGGGGAACAACATAGCTGACCATATGCAATGACTAATGACCCCCTGCCCTGGTGCCAACCAATCAGTGGAAACCACGACCCTAACAGGACACATCTGGAAAAACTGATGAATATTCTATTGAGATCTTCCCCTAGATCTCCCCTAAAATTCTCATCTTTAAAACACTTCAGTTTTTTCATTAGATTCCACATGTAACTGAAATCACATAGTATTTGTCTTTCTCTGAACAAGCAAAATAGAGACAGACTCATAGATAGAAAGCAGGATGACAGCTATCGGTGGGGGAGATTAGGGGTGGAAGGATCAAGGAAAAAGGACACATGGACATGGACAACAGTGTCGTGACTGCAGGGGGGCGAGGGGGTATAAGGGTGTTAAATGCTAAAAATTGAATTAAATTACAGTACAATACAATAAAATCCATCAGACAAGAACCCAGCGTGTCTCTTTTTCCCTCCCTCCTTTCTCTCTCTCTCCATCTAGCACACCTGAGCATTTCCTCCCCCTTTCAGGTGCATAACTGCTTTCTTTCTCCCAAGAGCCCTTCTTCTGTCTCTGTAACTTGTTTCCTGAAACCATGCAGCCCAGCTGGCTCACTTCTTCTACCTCTGTAACTTTCTATATAAACTTTTTATTGTATTTGAGTCTTGTCTCTGCATTCTTTCTTAGCACAAACTCAAGGACAGAGGTCCAATATCTGGTGCCATTTGCTACTAACAATACCACTTTCCTCAAGTCTATAGCTTGATCACTACCTCCCTTACTCTCAGCAGATAATCAGAACTCCCATCCATCCCTACTTTATCCTCTCTTTCCTGACAAAAATATCTGCAACATATACCTGGTCTTCACCTTTTCCTCCTCCTACTTTGGTGGAAAAGGTTTCCTTTCATCTATGCTCTGGATCTCTACTTGGGCTCCTCTTGTATAAATCATTTCCTTTTCTTCCAAAGTCTTCAAATTATTTTTTTCTGGTGATTCTTTTTTAAATTATGTTTCATTGACTATGCTATTACACTTGTCCCAATTTTTCCCCCCTTTTCAACCTTCACACAGTGCCCCCTACTCCCTCAGGCAATCCCCACACCATTGTTCATGTCCATGGGTTATGTGTGTAAGTTCTTTGGCCACTCCATTCCCTATACTGTACTTTACATCTCTGTGGCTATTCATTAACTACCTATTTGTTCTTCTTAATCACCTCACCTCTTCACCCATTCTTCCCCTCCCCCTCCCATCTGGCAACCATCAAAACCCTCTACCCATAGCCATGATTCTGTCTCTGTTATTTTTGTTTGGTTAGTTTCTTTTTTAGATTCAACTGTTGATGGATATGTATTTATTGCCATTTTATTGTTCATGGTTTTGATCTCCTTTTTCTTAAATAAGTCCCTTTAACATTTCATATAATAATGGTTTGGTGATGATGAACTCCTTCAGCTTTTTCTTGTCTGGGAAGCTCTTTATCTGCCCTTCAATTCTAAATTATATCTTTGCCGGGTAGAGCAACCTTGGCTGTAGGTCCCTGCTTTTCATTTGACTATTTCTTGCCAGTGCCTTCTAGCCTGAAAACTTTCTTTTGAGAAATCAGCTGACAGTCTTATGGGAACTCCCC